AAGCCTGTTTGCAAGTCACCAGCTAAAAATGTGGGTAAGAGGCCATCGCTCCTGCTGGGCAAACAGGTTCTGTCAGCACAGGCTGCCCACGCACCAGATTGGTGCTGCCAGGATCCTAACGCAATGGATGAAATGGATCCTCAGTCCTGCGCAGAGGGGCGAAGCTGAGGGCTTTCCCCAACCCTACGTCAGCAGCCAAACCCACGGGCAACCACTGGAAATACTCAGAAAGACTCTGACATCATGAGAAATCCTCTCAGCAGCTCATCTTGTTTAATACACAAAGAGGCTGTTATTTCCCTGGGGGAGGAAGGGTTGTGGGAGAACCTGGGAATCTGCAGAATGAAGCGTTAGCACCCAAAGTGGTAGCTTGCTGCTGAAATGCTGAGGTGTGGGGCTCTAGCCTCTGGGGTAGGACCTGGTTATGATACCCTTGATTCCACGTGTGCTGCAGCACCATACGGCGCGAACCTCAATGCAATGCACTACATAGTGCAAAACTACACAAAGCAAACCTCAACAGGTCTGACACGTGGCTTGGCTTTGGTTTCATCTGGGAAGAAACCACTGGCTTAATCCAAAGGTTGAACCCAGCTGCACCATGGAAAGGCACCATCTGCCCCTACTCCAAGACATTTCCATGGTTTATAGTCTTTTAACAAGCTTCTCTCACACAGCACCACATTTGCTGTGCTGCTTGGTGAGCTTAAATAGCAAAATTTAAAATAATCAATCTGGGACCAGGAGCTCTATGTTGCCAGGCTGTGGAGGAGAACTTGGTGCCATGGTGGTTTTTTGGGTCTGGGTTCACTGGTGCCTTTCCCGAAAATTATCATGTTTCACAGGAAACCAGCTGCAATGCTCAAGTCAGACTCTTGTTTATTTGCTGGTCTCTTGCTTGTGAGTGCAAGGACTCAAGTCACTGAAATGACAGCGCATGTGCTCCCACAGCCATACCACAGTGTGCTCCCAGTGCAAGCCCAGTAGAGATCCATCACAGCACCACCAACAGCCCTTCTCTAAACAGCTAGGAGGATTTAGGAAACCAGTAACAGGACAATAAATCCTGTTCCCTTGGTCACCACCATTCACAAGAGCTCAGCCAGTAACTGAGCCCTGTCTGTCCCATTAAAGCTCTGCCATGCACGTGGTGACTGAGGACGTGATGGCTCTTCTCCACCTCAAAAAAACCCCTCTCTCTAGGGAACATTATTAGAAATCACAAGCTGCTTCTGTGCATTTTTAACAAAAGAGTTCTCACATCATGGCCCTGTGAGAGGGTCAGCAACCTCTGCAGTGCTCACACACGCTGACCTGTGAAGAATGGGTGAGAGTAATCCGCCTCCTTGGGTGGGTGAAGGATCGGTCAGCCCAGGGCAGCAACTGCCACGTGTAAACCAACCTGGAGATGAGTGTTCATTGCCAGTCATCACCCATAGCACTACTGCTGGGCTCGGACTTCCCTCTCCCCTTCTGCCCAGCTACAGTGAGGTGATTGATCCCCATTTTCCCATCTTAGCCCTCAGCTGCATTTCAGGGGTGAACCAGGGCTTGGGGCTGGGGGGAACCAGTGTCAGTTTAAACCAAGTTGGAAAAGATGCTGTCGAGATCAGGAAACCTGAGAGCAGCAGAGGTCAGCCATCCAAAGTCATCAGTATCTTCATCTTTGCTCAAAGCGAGACAGTAATCTGAACCAGACCTTGGGTGCCCTGGGCAAGTGCTCTGTATTCTTCCTTCGGGGCGAGGGGCCAGCTCCAGTAAAGACACAGCTATCGAGCAGTGATAATCTGGATTTAACCAAGTAATTGCGTGGTCACGCTCCTTATCAGCGCATGAGTTCATCTCAGAAAAGCATCAGAAAATCACCTTAAAATACTAAAAGCTTAAAACCATTTTCCTCATAGCAAGTAAGTAGGGACCATGTTCCCAAAAATCTTCAAATCAAACATGTCTGGAATGGGATGACTTTACTGGAGTAACTAAATTACTCAGTAACTGCTCAAACCAAGGGAATGCAGTAAGATTTGTGGTGGTGCTTAGGGTAGGTTTTGGGGTTTAAATGTAGGATGATACAGTGATTTGCAGGACTGCAGATATGTTTTAGCTCCTGATTATTTGCCATATCTGTACTTGCCTGAACAATGACGGGTTTTAAAGCTGGTTGTCCCGAGTGGATTACTGACTGGCAGTTAATTAAGAATAGAAGGGCGAGTGTTGACCTGGAGAAGTGTTTAGCATCAAAATCATTAGAGTTATGCTCCCTGGTGGAATAAAAGGGGATTATCCTGGTTCAGTTCCTCCCTATTGCTTGCTCACCTGGGTTTTGAAATATGAGGTTTCATCCTGTTGCTGGGGCAATTTGGGAAATGCTGTGATTGAGGACAGGGACAACCACCTTCTCCACAGACATTTATAAATGTCTCCTTATTTATGCATCAGATCAATAACACAAAAGTATTTGCTCCTCTCAGAAAGAGCCTGAAACCAAGCTGCTGTTTGTGGCCACCCACATGTGTGTGAGCCGAGGCTCTGGAGCCCGCCTGGGTTTTGCAACAGGATTTATCCAACAGGAGCATTATTAACAGCAAGGAACACCACCTTCCCTCTGAGCTTGCAAGGTGCATTACGGACACAAATTCAATTAAGCTTCGCAGCAACCCCCCCAGGGTGAGGCAGGCGGGCAGGGATTAGCTAAAGAATTAATTAGTTGAGAGAAGCAAGTCAGAAAACGAATCTGTCAGTCACTTCTACCTGCCCTTGATAGCGGTTTCTACGATAAACACATTACTTGTTGGGTTGCATTAGAGCAGATCCCCACAAGCCACCTCTCTGCATCAGAAACTTCCTGAATCGTCGCCCTCCCAGGTCCTGCTTCGGTGCTGTCAGCGCGATGGGTGCTGGGGAAGGTCACTGCACCCCTTCTTATGGGGGGACACAAATATGACACACACAGCTCCTGCCCTAAGGAAGCTGCTGGCACCCATGTGTGCTCTGCTGGCACAGGCTGTGTTTGCTGGGGTGGCCACAGAGGCTGATCCAACAGCCAAGACAGCCCAACCCAAGCTGATGTGGAGCATCAAAAAAGGGCAGGGTCAAAACCTTCACAAAAATCCCAGCTACGGCCCGGCTCCTCTGAGGATTTGAGGACTCTCTCCTTGTTGTCCTAACAGCAGCAGTTATTATGGCATTCTCTGGAAAACTCAAAAAAAAACCCCAAACCCCTGTATACCTGGCTTTGCCAATTCAAAGAGCAAATTACAGCTACTGTCTGTAACTGTAGAATTTTCCACTTAAAGAGGCAAGACAGAAAAGGGAAGGGCAATTTAGACCGATGTGAGAGATGGAGAAGTGAAACATGGATTCCGTGTCATGCTCACCGAGTAAGTTTACAGCGAAGCCTAAAAATAAAGCCTGAACCTCGAAGCAGTTGCCTTAACAAGAAGAGCACGTCCTCTCTCTGGCCCCTGGCTTTAGCCCTTGCTCCGTTGCCTTTTTTCCCCCAGTTTGCAAAGCTATAACAACATAAAAACTCGCTCAAAAGTGCAGCTGCATTTATTCAGCACAACTCTGCTTGGCTGGGTCTCTTTTCCGCAGAGGTGACTCAAGGCAGGGGAAGGGCTGGGGCACAAGGCACTGACAGAAGGGGTGTTACTGCTCTGCAATGGCATTTTTGCACCTCACTTGCCATTACAGAACTCCAGTTTGAAGCTCCTGCAGCTGCTGCCCCCAGTCCTGCCCTCTTGCATCCTCCAGTGTGAAACACAGGGTTACAAAAGCCCCTCTCCCCCACACAAAATTATAACATTTTTAAAATTTATACTGTATTTCTGATCTGTGAAACCCTGGCCAGCCCAATAAATGCTGTCTCCCACCACCTCCTCCATCCTGCTCAACCCAGCTCACCAGTGTTGTCCCCATGAGCTCAGTCTCTTCCACTCCTCCCACTTGGATGGAGAAGCTGCTTGTCCAGGGGCTGCTGGGCTCCCAGGGCTCAGGCACCCATCTCCATCAGCAATGGAGGAAGGAGAGGACCAGGAGGTGGGTTCCCTGCCACAGGGACCATTGAATGGCAGCCCGCCGGGGACAGGCCCTGCTCCCCTTCAACCAGGCAGCACACGAAAACAAAACAGGGATGGGCTTTGCATTTTGTGTCCAGGTTTCTGTGTCCTTCACCCATGCTCTTGTTCTTCTCTGGCTGCCACCCAGGGTGGGATGGAGGTAGCTCCTCACAGGCTTTCAAACCAATGTTTCTGGGGATAAGGCTGGACTCCTGTTTGTCAGGACTTTCCAACAGACTAAATTTGGGTTTCCTACCAGGCTCATAAAGCACCTTTGCCCATCTGTGCATCTCCCTCCCGTACCCCTCATTCATGGCTCAACATTTGCCATCTTCTACTTTCATCTGGAAAGAGCTGACTGATGGGTAAGAGTGTGTCTGGTCAGATTGCAATGGCGCTCAGGTTGGGATTGCTGCAAGGACTTTGGGGTGGCCAAGGGACAGCCAGGTGCCTGGACATGGGCTATTTTCCCCTGTGCTGAGGTGCTGGACTCAGCACGCTCCTCAGTGCGGTGCTCACATGGGCCCTGCTCCTGGTGGAAAGGAAAAAAAACACAGAAATATTCATGAGCAGGAAATTCACAGCAGTTTTCACTGGACTTTCTCATTATTTATGACTTAAGATGTAAATTCTCCCTCTACTTCTCCCTTATGCCTGGGGTTTGACCACTTCATCAGTGTAAAGAAGCCCACGTTTGGGAGAACCAGCCCACGTTTGGCAGGAGTGGCACCAAGTTGGAGCTTCCTTACAGCCCAGGGAGTCCCTGCCTGCAGGAACAGCCCCTTGATAACACTGGAGGAACACAGAGCAACCCTGAAACTCCTGCTACTGGTAGCAGCTCCAGAGCTTTTGGACAGGAGGAGGAGGAAGCTTGGGACCTGGACCTTCAGCAGCCGCCCCATGGGATCCCTCAGGAGGGGCTCCCGAACCTTTCACACTCACCTGATGCCCCAGCGTTTGTGAAAGGAGTCAGTGAAGCTCTTCTTGAACTTGTCATTAGCAAACACGTAAATCAGGGGATCCAGGCAGGTGTTGGCCATGGTGAACAACCAGCAGATGTAGTAGGCAACTTCTGCTTCATGCAAGAGCTTGCAAGACATGCCATAGTACTTCACAACGATGCCAATGGTCCTACAGATGTGCAGGGGGCCAAAGCAGACAGCAAAAATCACCAGAGACGCTGTTATCATCTGCAGAGACCTGATCTTCATCTTCTTGCCTCTGGAGCTTTTCTTTGCTGCCTTAGTGATGGCAGCTCCCAGCAGAGCTCCGCAAGTCAAGGAAATGGCAAAGGGCAGGAGGAAAAAGAGCACAGTCAAAACCAGGTTGTAGAAGAAGTAAAAAGAGGACAACTCTGACTGGTGAATATTTAGGCATTTTGCTGAGCCATCAATAACTGAGATCTTGAGGAAGAAGAAGAAAGGCAGCCCTTGCACAAAGAGGAGAAACCAGACGAACAAGGACAGCTTGCTCAAGAAGCTCTTCTCCTTCCAGAGGGACTTGCTTTTGTACCGTACGACGACAAAATACCGGTGGATGCAGATGAGCATCAGGAAATAGATGCTGCTGTACACATGTGTGCTGTACAGGAAGACTTCGAATTGGCAGAGGAACTCCCCAAATGGCCACTGGTTGCCGAGGCTGAGGTAGGAAATCCTGAGGGGAACAGTAGGGATGATCAGGACGTCTCCCAGGACCAGGCTGAACTGCAGGATCATGCCCGAGTCCCACTGCTTGATGCGGAAGCAGAACACCCAGAAGCTCATGCCCTTCAGCAGGGCACAGAGCAGCAGGAGAAGGGTCCCCAGGGCGGGGATGGCAGGGTGCGGCCCCTGGGGCATGCAGTCCACGCTGGTGTTCATGAAGGTGAGGGAGGCCAGTGGCTCCAAGGACTTGGGAGAACCCTCTGTGCTGACCTGCAGGGGATGGGGTGGCAAAGAGAACACAATGAAACCACCCGAGCTCATCATCTCACGGCTGAGCTGCATCAGAGGCAACGGTGGCCAAAGCAGCAGGGGCAGTTTTTCAAATGATCCTTGAGCCTGAAGATCTGTGGCCAAAAGTTGAGCACTATCTATCCTAGACTACACAGGAGGAGACCTGGCAGGGGCAAACCTTGCTTTTTACATGCCAATGTACGACCTTATGGGAATGACTGGAACCTGCTGCGCTCAGCTCAGCTTTTTCCGATTGTGCTGCAGGGGAAGGAGAAAGGGCTACAGAGGAACCACAGGAGCAGCCTAAATGTTCACCACTACTGACTGCTGGTGGGGGAAGATGAAAGAGATGGTGCTGTTACTGTTTGGCTCCAAAAGCCTCTGCACTTAAAATTGCTGGTGAGATCCCAGCATCACCCACACCACAATTATTTCAGCTGGTTTTGGTACAGTGCAGTTGCCAAGAGCCTCACCGACCCACTCCCTCTCCTGCTGCCAGACTTCTCCACCCCCATGCATCCTCCATCTGCCTTGCTTGGCTGCTGTACCCCAAGTTCTCCCACTGTCCCACCAAGCAGGACACCCCATTGAGTAGGAGGTGCTACTGGTTATTCACAGCTTGGTGAAGGGAACACCTCCGCTGCAAGAGCTGGGTCTCTCCTGGAGGGAGGAGCTCAGGGCAGGTCGTTGATGCTGTGCCCCCTACTCACACCCTTCAGACACCTCTTCATTGCCAGCAGCTGGGACTGGCTGGGAGCACAGCATCCTCCACAGCTGCTCTTTCCACTGAGCACAACTGTAACCATAGGGTGACCCAAAATTGTGCCAGGCTTTGGTTAGCAGGAGTGATGGTGGGGTGAGGAGTGAGACCATCACTGCAGCACCAAACCTGCTCCTTGTTTGGGACACAACTTTTAAGCCCATTGGTGTCTCACCAGTGGTAAAACATTCCCCTGACCTCACATCCATGTGTGGATGATTCTGAAATCAGACACTTCTGGTTATGTTTAAGCACTTGGATTTGCACCCTGGCTGTTGTACTGGTCACCGTGTGCTCCGCCTTTGGGGTATGACCATGTCGCATACCAGCAGCTTCCCAAAATGCTCAGGGCCATGGGATAACGGTTTTGTGCAATGAGCCATTCCCAGGAAGATGCTCTCAGCCTGCCCTGCTGCACTCCCAGCTCTGCACCGCATCCCGAGGAACATGGGACAGACCCATGTGGAAAACAGCCTTGAAGGCATTTTGTCAGCTGATGCAGTTTTACACAGAGGCACCTTCCTGGATTCAACCAGCCAAAAAACCCTGCAATTAAACTGCTCCTCGCTGTGTGCTCCAGGTGGCTGAACGTGGCTTGAACAGCTCAGGAGGGGTCAAGAACCAGCTCGTCCTCACCAGGGCACCCCAAGCCTGGCTGAAGGGGTGGGATTTCCTGAATCCAGCCTTTAACTCCCATCTGGGGAAAACGTGAGTCTAACCCAGGGGGTTGGGGAATGCTGATTATTATTTGCTAAGCCCTCAGCTAAAGACAGAGGCTTCTAAATACAGAGAGGTTTATGGGTCCTGCAGCCATTGACCACTTGCTTTCCTCTGGTTTTCACTACTTTTCCCAAAAACTGAACCTTTCCAAATTAAGGACTTTTTAATTATGTTTCATTGCTGCTTTCTGGCATCATCATCACCCACAAAGCTCCAGAAATCCCATCCCATTGCAGAGAGCTGGCAATAAGTGGATCCTTTCTTTTCTACCCAAAGCACAACCGCTGGGGCAGCTCAGCTCTCAGGGTGCCCAAAATCCACAAGGTCGTGGGCTTCATTTTCCCCAGATGAGCCCTGGCCTGGATTTGTTGCCCAGTCTGCATAAAGCAGGTGTTAGTATATGCAGTAATTTATTAATGAATGAGGCAGAGGCTCTGTACTCTGAGTAAGAGGAGAAATTTTGAGCAGTAAGTAGAAAACGCCTAAGAATTACTAAGAAATTCGAAATTGGCTTTAACTTAACAAGGCAAAGCAGGAAAAAAAAAAAGTTAATTTTCACTTAACTTGAAGGTGAATCACACGAGCCATTAGAGACACACCTACCTGGAAAACAGCAGCAGAATTAGGGCTAATCTGGATGGGGAGGGAAGGCATCAGGACCAGCATCCAGCCCTGTGTGTCCGAGCGCTACAGGGATTTTGCTTGCTCTTTATGTAAAAAAAAAAACCCTCTCATGTGTTCTAGCCGTGATGAAACCTCAACAGCATTTGTCGAGAGTACACCCATGGAGAGTTTTGCCTTTAGGAACCGATTCCTGTTAAACCTGAATATGGGTAAAAAGTCACGTAGACGCAGGGGGGACTCACCCTGTCCTCCCACGAGGGTCCGCGGTGCGGCTGGTGGTGGAGCAGCAGAAGCACCCGAGCTCCTTCAGACTCGCCGAGAGAAGAAGAACCAATGGACGGGAAGAGGCTCCAGCGTTGAAGGGTGGAAAGGAGAGCTCGGTAGTGAAACTGCAGCAGCTCGGAGAACTGCAGGCAGCAAAAGCAGCAGCTGATTTACAAGAACAGCTTCCTTCTGCCCCAAATCCTCCAGAAACGGGAGCCTCTGGGTTTGCTGTCACCAGGGAAAGGTGTAGATGGAGGTGAGCGAAGCACAGTCCCTACAAGCCGAGGACACTGGTGAAGCGGCTGCTTTGATGGGCAGAACCCCACTGAGCAGCGGGGAGTGGGGTCCAGCAGGGAGCACAGAGGGGTGCAGGGCTCAGCAGGGCCGAGGTGACTCCCCCAAAGTCCCAGCAGGTCAGCGATGGCAGCGGTGGGGCTGTGTGGGGTGAGTCAGCAGAGGTTTCCAGGTACTACTGACGTTAATAAATGTGGGTAGGTGTAACCACAAAAGGCAGAATTTGACACCAAACTCTCTCCAGCTCTCTGGGTTGTCTGACACCAAGACCTCAGCTGCAGCATTTAAATCCAGCAGTTCTGGGGTGCTGGTTACTTTTATGGCTCAGTAAAAGCTGCAGATTTGGTAAGATCATAAGAGGTGCTCTTTGGTGCCCCAGAGTCACACCAAATACTCCAAACAAGCACCACACTGGAGGTCAGAAAACATGAGTTTCTGAAATTGTCTCCCTGCTGCTTTCCCAAGCAAAAGAAAACCCCCAGAGGGCTTTGCTGAGATACTCAGAAGATGATCTCTGGGCTGCTGACTTGGACAGTTGTTTGGTCCAAGCCCAAGTCACAAAACTCACTGCCACCAGCTCTAACTTGTACAAACCCTTTGCTTCATAAGGAAGAACAACATCCATAGCTGAGATTAAAAGCCCAAGGGGTGAAATCCTGATGGAAATCCTGAAATCCATCCCAGGGGCATCTTTGGGACCAGGTGGAGCTCCTGTAAGAAGGGACCCTCCATGGATGGTCAAAACCTGAAGCTATGAAACCTCCCTGAACGCTCCTGCAAGCGGCCAGCACTGAGGTGATCAGGGCCGCCGCTGCCTGACTGTGGAAGGGCTGGAAACTTCTCTGAGCCATTTCAAGCCAAAAAGGAAGTTACTAAGAAAAGTACAGTTTAGTGTAAAGCCCACAGAGTCTATTTAGAGCAGAGCCAACAGCCTCCCATCCTCAGCCTTCATCTAGCGCGATCTGAAGCCACACGAGGTGACTTCCTTCCATCGCACTGTGCAGGACTCGAGGAGAAGCGCTGCTCGTCATGGCCTTACAGTCAGTGCTGTGTTGATATTTTAATTTTTTGGGGGGGGATGTTAATTTTTATAATAAAGAGCACAGCCCAGTGCTGCTGCTGTGCTGGTTTTGTGTCAGAGACATTGCTGTCTGCAGTGCCTGGGGTGTCCCATGGTGGCACAGTCCTTCCTCGCCAAGGAGTCGTCACCCCCTGCACAAAGGGTAAATGTGTGTCCAAGGGTGCTGTGGGGGCACAGTGAGGTGAGAGTGCAGCATCAGACCCAAACCTGCCATGGGTCTTACATTACTTACATTGACTGCATCCTTGCTAGCCTGGACTGGTCAACCCAGTTCATCGTGCAAACACCAACTGGAAGATGAGTCCCTGCGAGGTCTGGACTCTGGCTGTGGGGTTGCATCGCTCCCATGGGTCTCGGGGGGGTCTGCACCACTGAAGGTTGGTGGATCTCGAGTTCTCCCACATCACTGGCTCCTACCATAAGGTGCGTTTCTTGGGCAGGACCTTCTTCAAAAAAACCAACTTGAATATCTGTAAAAAACCCAAGCAAAGCCCACAGCCATCCAGAACAAGGCTCTGGTTTGCAGTCAATGTTCCTTTGCATAAAAAAAACAAGAGAACAAACATTTGTGCTATAAACTCAGCATTGAAGATGCTTTTAGGAGTGTTGGATCACCCCTTACACCACCTGCTGTCCCTCTGGGGTGGCGTCCAGCCACCACCATTGCTGGATCCCAGGCTGGGAAAGCCAAAACCAGTAGAGAGAGATGCAAGGCCTGAATGAGAACAGAGACAATCTGAACACCAGATATGCAAAAGAGTTTATTGGCAGTAAACATGACGCTATTTACAGGGATAATGGTATTTACAGGGATCAGTCCAGCGCGTGATCAGCAGAGCAAGGCATCCCTGTCCCTTCACCGTTTCCTTAGGGTGCAGCAGTCAGGACATCCACGTGCCCCACTCAGGTCCCTCTGTCCCTGTTCAGGTCCCTCCGTCCCTTTGGGGCTGGCAGCCCAGCTCATGCACTGAGGCTGGTCCTACCCTGCACCACTCCATTAACTCATTCAAACACTTTTAGCACAGCAAGTGCTCCCAGCAAATTCGCGCTCACTCCAGCAGAAGAGCAGGGAGAACATCCAGCTGCACAGCCTCTGTAAGACCAGGGCATGCTCAGCTCCAGGCAAGCAAAGCCACCACCACCCAGAAACGCTTTCTGAATATTTCTCCTCCTGACACCCTCTCCATTTGTTGCTCTGGTACTTGTGGACACACCTGCTCATATTGGGACAGGCAGTGGATGCCTCAGGAATCAGCCACAGTGTTGCAGAGCCGAGGCACATCTTTACAGCAAGTTTATGCTGCAGAAAGCATTAATTGCTACTCCTACCTCCTTTTTCAAAAATACCTGAACACCAGGCACAAACTTCATCTCCCCTAACAGCAGAGGTCTGCATCTGAGCTACTCATCCAGCCTGTCCGGGGTAGAGGATTGGGCACTTCAAGAGCGTGGTTCAGCCAGCTGAATGCTTTGGATGTTTAACTTTGGAGGAGATGAAACCCGTGCCCCTCTTTGCCTTGCAGGGGTCTGGGTGCCCAGCTCGGGTGCAGGGCTCTGCCTCAGGCCAGGTGACTCCTGCTGTGGGTGACTGAGCAAACGCAGCCTCAGCCACGGGGGCGATTTGCAAACAAGCGAGCAGCAGACAAATGTGCAAATGTATCTGGTGGCTACTTGTGGGTAATGAATGCATAATCTATTCTGACTGCCTTCCCTATCTACTTCTGGCTAACGCGTCTGTGAGCCTGAGTCAGGTTTATAAGTGGTTGGCAACGAAAAGAACAGGCTGCAGTTGAGCCAAACATTCTGTTCAGCAAATAAGGCGGCAGTTTGGGCAGGGACATTTGCTGTTAGGAGCTCAGTGTCAGAATCCCTCCTGCGCTCAGCGATCCCCATCCTGCAGACAACTGCTACGAGGGGTGGCAGGATGTGACAACTGACTTTTGCCTCAATTCTATGCCTAAATCCCAGCCTCTGATAAAAGAGCAGTACTGTATTCCTTTCCCATCTATCTGCTCATTAGAAAGTGGCTCTTATGTTTCACTCGACTGCTGGGAATGCTCCAAAGAAATCTAATTACAAGGTCACTGCAGTAAATTGCATTGGGTGGCATAACTCTGAGTCACTGGTTCAAGGCGCTTTCCCCTTCCGCCTCAGAGTAACTCATGTAACGAGGGTGAAGAGAGGCAGGAAAACATTTACAGACTCGCAGTGAATGAGACCTAACAGGGACCCAGCATTTGCAAAGTGTCGTGACTTCTGGGTGCCCCAGTGGAGGGGAGTTGTCCTGGGAATGGTGACAAACTGGACACCAAAGGCTTTCCAGCCGCTTTGGGAAATGCCGCTTACACAGTCCTTGGGTGGAAGGAGAGGAGACTAAAACCCTTTGGAGGCTTCCCAGGACTGCCCATGCGGGAGCAAATCCCATTCTTACCCAAAGAAATCTCCTCTCCTTCTGCTCAACCCTTTGGGAAGCAGAAAGAGAAGTCACTTGGCTGTGTTGGGTGGCAAAAGCCTTGTCCACCCCTGGCGATCCTGCTGCTGGCTGATTTGTCTCCACGCCGGCTCCTCACCACACAGGGACGGGTTTCCAGGAGGAAGGGGCTCGGTTCCTCTTGGTCGTGCCAGGCTCAACACAAAGGAGAAAGCTGCAGGTTGCAGATTGCGGTGCCTGGAGGATGCTCTCACAGCGGCTGCTGCTGAGAGGTGGCAAGTCAGTGCAGACCTCATGAGGGATGGTTGCCTCTGGCTCAGTGATCTGTCCCCACGCTCCCCAACAGATGCATCTTCACGCTTTCCGGATGATCCGTCCCGGTTTCCTCCAGTCCCTGTACCGCTCCCTGCGCACCGAGTGGACCAGAGGCCTGGAGAAGCTGGGGTGGTTTGTTCTGGTGGCGTTGCTAGTGAGGAACAAAGCGAGACATCATTACTGGTGTGGGTCAGAGCCGGGACACATCTCCTGCATCTAGTGGAGGCTCCTAAAAGGACAGGGGTTTTGGTCAGCAGAACAGAGTTCACCACCACTGCTGCCAAGAGAAGGACCAGTGCTGGATCCTGCCGCAGCCCCCAATGCTCGAGGTCCCTGCACTGCACAGACCCAGGGGTGAGCCTCTCCTGCGCACCTGAAGTGGTGATGGGGACCCAGGTATCACCTCCACTACCCATATTTATATGTAGTTTTTGCAAAGATTACAAAAGCCTGGCACAGTGAGTGTGTGTGCACGTTCTCCTGCCAGTGCAGAGTGACACAGGGCACAACAGAATTTGTAGTGAAATTCATACGAGGTGAAGCGCGTCCCCTCCTCATCACTGCAAAAAGGGTGGTGCAGAGGTGAGCCCTGGGTCTGGCAATTAGGTATCGCTCCTCTTTCTAGACCCTGCTCAAAGCTGTTCCTTCTGTGATTCCCAGTGGCTTTGTCAATAAAAAGCATCCAGATACCATTTCCCCCGTGCCCATCAGTGGGAAAGGCTGGTGGGA